TGGCGGTGGCTGTGTCGAGTCTGCAGGAATCGATCTGGCCTGTGATGCAGTGTTCATATGGTCATTCCTGGAGGCCTTCATCATGACCGGCATGACAGGAAAGAACTCTGGTTGAAACGTGTGTCCCAACATGGCTGCTACCTGGAATAGGACCCCACATTCATGGCTACGAATGTTCCGGCATTCCTTGTCACAAAAGCTACAGCGTCCCCTACCACTTCCAATATTGGCAAGGCTCAGGACATGGGCTTGGTATTGTGCTGCAAATGCAATCAATTGTGGATGTTGATCAGTGTAGTGCTTATGGATTGATCTTGCAGCTATCTGACAGTGACAAAACGCACAATGGCGGGACAGCTCACTGACCAGGGCTTGATTAAGCAGCAAACCAGGGATCGATTTATGACGTAAATGCATCTTCAGGTCAGGTCTCGCCACGATCGGGGTGATCGACTCCTGGGCCGGGTTGAAAGAGGTGCAAACACGTCTGTTGATGGGATCTCTCAACCGGTAAAAATCAACAAAGGAGTGTGAACAATGATTGCAAATGGGCCGACCGTTCCAGGCATCTCGCAATGGATCGTATATATCCTCTGGTTCATATTCAGGACACTGGATTTCCTGGGCAAGCTGTGGGTCCGGAGCGTCACAGGGCAAGGTGAGGTCATTAGGCCACAAATCTGGGACACAGGCACAGGCGTCAGGTGAAACTTCAATCATGGCTTCCATGCGAAAACGGGTAGCACGGTTGCGCAGTGCTTGGTGAATACGAGCTTGTTGTTGTTGCAATTGTATCCAAGGTGGTGGGAGATTATGCCTATCGAAGAAATTCTGCGTTGACCCATGTGTTAGGCAAACCGGGGATTTAGTCATGATCCTATGATGTGTGTTGATCGTGCTGACAAATTTGGTGAGTCCGCGACGTGTGATTCCCATTTCGTGAATATCATAGCTAACAGTGGATATGACACACTGACGGTATAGCTTAAATCGAATGTGAAGCGGATGGACCGCGCTGGTAAGCCAAGACCTGGGTTATGTGAACACCACTTAGCTGCTGTGATTCGTCTCATGGTGGTGTCAAAGTCGAAGGCTCTGTAACTCAGGAACACACCAAGGTAGGCCGTTTTGGACACAAGTGGCAGTCGCCAGTGTTTCTCCGGCAGGAGCAACAAAGGGCCATCCGGCATTCGATGGACCCAACGACGTAGGAAACTAGGGGCTTCGCGACCGACCAGTCTCAGGATAGCAAAGCTCTTTTGCATGTTAATTTTAAGTCCAAAAGCACTAAAAGTATCCAGGATATGCTGAAGTTCCGACAAAGCCTCCAAGGCATGAGTGGGAGACATGACGATCCATCGAAGGTGAACATCGTCTGCATAAATTATCATATGGTTACGAAGCCATGCAAGCGAAAACCTGGCCTGTAGGTCCAGGAGTATGGCACTCATCACCAAGGTCCAAAGCAAAGGGGCATCTTTGGATCCCTGTTTAATGCCCCGGCATGCAATGACGTGACCAATGAGTTGTTTAAAAGGAATGCAATACTTATGAGGAATCAATCACGAATGAATCAGTCGGAGAACATTAACATCGAATTGCAAGTGGTCGAGTGCTTGAAGGACTAAAGATCTGGCTACGGTGTCAAAGGCCTTTTCCATATCTAATCAAACCTGCAAACCTCCCTGCAGCCCCGGGGCATTTGGTCGTGAACGAAAGTGGCTACATGTGTCACGAACCTGTCTGTAGTGAGCAGCCACTATGAGCAAACAGTCACGTGTTCCCCGGGATGGCAAGTAGGCGAACAATGGCAGCTGCCTCAAGGTTGGATAGGCCTGTGTCAAAATCAATTGACATTGGATGCCAGCAAAGACCTTATTAACCGGATGTTGCAAACAGATGGGACGAAGGGCCTGTGGTTTGGATGGGGTTTTATTGGGCTTAGGAAGAAGATGTATCCACCCCGTGGTCCAGTGAACAGGCGGTCGAACTCGTGGACCCATCCAACATTCAACAAAAGTGTGCAAGGTCTTCGGCAAAGTGCTTCCAAACCAGGGCCGGTATGCCATCCGGTGCGAGGGCCTTTGTACCAGGCAGTGCTCTCAGTGCATCAGTCAAAGCCTGGCGATCAAACGGTGCGCTGGTCAGGGGGTCAGTGCCAAATTGCGGAAGTTGATCGTCTGAGTACAAGGCCGTATAATATTGTTCAATAAGTTGAATCTCCTGGGTTGGGGACAACGGCATGCCATGCTGGTCAAACATCTGTGTACGACGAAATTTTTGCTTGGGACAGAACTGTCGAATCTTGCGATACCATTCAAAAGTTTGTCTATGCAATACCAAGTCAGCACCTTCGGCAAGGATGGTTTCGAGCTTCAAACGTTTGTTGGCACGACTGAAGGTTCGGATCTGTTTCTGACAACCTAGGTAGTTCGTGGCATGCCTCCAACACAAAAACATGGATCTCAGGGATCTGCCTCGGACTCGAAGGGCCTCCCTACGGGCATGCCACATCCTGGAGGAGATGGATTGGAGTAGGGAGGGTGTCAATCGGCGAGGATGATGTTTGGGAAAGTATTGGATATACAATTCACGTAGGCTGGTTTCAAGGGCCAGCATACTGTCCTGAGCAGTTCGATCAGGGGGGGATGGCATGTCATGGATCAATTGCCGGGCGGAGGCCTCAAACTGAACCCAAGGAGCTGTCTGTGCATGAAAGGCCTGTCGCATGGCAAATCTATCAATCCGATTTAGAGGAAAGTGAACCGTCTGAGGGGCATGCCATTTCGGAAGTGTCACCAGCAATGGATGATGGTGAGGTCCATTGATGCCAAAGTTCCTTTCGAAATGCGTATTCGTGGACGGCTGCATGCGGCGATACTGAACCTGTGGTTGTCGAATCAATATGTAGTCTATTCTGGGTGCGTGTATACCATGAGCAAAAGTATGTTGGTATATTATTAAGTGCAATCAGGATCTGCTGCAGAATATGGCTGTCCGTGTGCACAATCGGAAAGCGTCTAGGGTCTTCAGATCCTACGAACGGCGGGTCGGCACGAAGAACCGTGTTGAAGTCTCCTAGAACAATCAAGTAGTGTGCCTTGGGGATGTGATTTAAGCAGTCCTGTAAAGTATGCCAAAGTTTAAGGCGGTTTTGAAGGAGAAGTTTGGTGCCATTGCAGGCGTTCCAAGCATATTAATAAATAATGAGAAAATCAAAAGTGTACTCAAGGAAAACTCTCACATGTAAAAAGGCGTCCTTCCATCAAAGGGGCTGTGGCAATACGATCAGCGGCTGCAATAGTGGTTCGAACCAACAACAAAATGGAGGCTTACTTATTGGCCGAGTGGATACAATGCCATTCTGCTGTGCTCCAAATAATCATGAATGGCCATCCCATTTCTTGTATTGCAAGGACGAGGCCCATTTCTTGTATTGCAAGGACGAGGCCCAAAACAAGAATTCTTCATATACCAAAGCCTTCGAGGCGTTCCAGATCATGCAACTTGAGAGGAAGGAGACACGAAAGGTAGGACAGCGGAAAAAGAAGAGAACGCGAAAGGCAGGAACAAAAATGCAATGTTCGAAATGGTGATTTATCCCCTCGGAGGCGACCTTTCGTAAATATATGTTCATATGCACTTTAAATGTTCAAACATGTGCTCTCGTTAGGAAAACAAACTTGCCCCATGGCTCAGATCATCGGTAAGCATTAAATCGGAACATCATAGGATTTAAATTATCCTAAAACCATAAGAGGCTCACGAAGACGCTCCCCAGGAGAGAATTAACGTGCTTCACAAAACGTATCCCCTCGGGGAACACCTTTCGTAATTAGAATGTCACATTCATTTTTTCTAAATGTTCAAAAGGGTTTCAACTATCCTAAAATTATAAAAAGCTTACGAAAACGTTCTCCAAGAGAAAATTAATTTAAGAGGGGGGGAAGAGGGAGGGAGGGGATCTGTATTAAAAAATCAATTCCAGGGGGGAAAAGTCTGTATTGAAAAATCAATTCGAGGAGGGGGGTAGGGGGGTCTGAAATAAGCGATCAATTATTAGACCCGGACGTCCCAACACTTGTTTCGCAAAACAAACTCAAGGTATCCCCTAAAGGACTACCTTTCGTAACAAATGCCAAATGCAATATAAATTACCTTCAACTAACTCCTAAAATAATGCGTCCTCTATATTCTAGCGAATTATTTTATAATAATTAACTCTTTTATATATGCGCACTATGCGCGGCCGGACGTAAATCTAATCGTAAACATTTTAAACCCAAATCTCATATAGTTTCGTGGAAAAAATAGACCAATCATCTTAATGGCCTCTATTCCCGCTCAAAACCGCGAATCTCTAAACGACCCTCGCGCCAAACATAATAATTAAACAAAATGTCGATACATCCGCTTTCATATTTCCCAAACTTAAAACCGAACTTTCCGAAAAAACAATCTTCAACAAAATATACACAACCAACAAAATAAAATTGCGAAAATACGCCAAAAGAAAAAATAAAAAGAATTAATAACACATAACACCCGGCCCTCGTAAACGACTACGAACCACTTAATCTAGAAATATTATTTTCCTTATCTATACCAATCATTACCTATACCTCATATACTATTATATAAATCGGATATACCTAATTTTCGAATAATAATATATTTCCCCCGATCAATAAATATTCCATAATCATCGTTTCAAATTCCCTTTCAAAAATACATCTTTAATAAAAAAATATTCGAATTCCTCGGAATAAAAATATACATAATTCAAATTCAAATAAATTTCAAAAAAATACAACACAAAATCTATATCGTAATATTATTAAAATCAATATCGAAATATATTCCATCTTCCCAAATAATTACGTCCTAATTTTAAACAATGATATATACAAATATTAGAAAAACATATTTATGTTAATTTAATATCTAAAATATATTAGATATATATATATATATTGTTTAATATATAGTTATTAGATATATTAGAATTTTGTATTTAATCGTTGAAGCCGGGCTTGGTTTGCTTTCTGGTGTGCAGAAAAGGTCTCAAAACACGGCACGTAAATTTCGTCTGGTTTCCTTTGCTCCACACCCTCCTCGCGGATGAAAACCACTGCGTGGATGTGAGAAGTCATGCCTTCTGGAATCGTGACAGAGAAATGGCCCTGCAACTCTGCTGTGTGAACTAGGGCCGGCCAAAGGCGATGTGTCGCATCCAAAAAGATCAAAGGGACACCAAGTGGGACGGACCTGAACACATCAGGAATTGCTCCAGCCAGCAGGCCATCTTTTAACAAGGCTGCTTCATTTTCATGTAAAACATAAGACGCGATCACCAGATCCGCAGTGCTGATTTCCTCGATGACTTGAGAGTTGTCACACTCTCGCAGGTCGATGGGTGCCATGAGCTGCAAAAAATCCTCCGCGCAGATCGGCCAAATCTCAGTGGCCGCAGATCTGAGCGCCACTAACGCGGGAGCCCATGCAGGTGCCAAATCCAAGACGTGGCATCGCAGGGGCCGCGGTCCGTCCAGCGGGTCCATGGTGTTTGGTCGCAGATCGGCCACGGTGTGGGTCCGCTCTTGGAGCTGGGCTTCTCGAAAGGACTCCATGGCTGCAAGCAATGCGACGGCATCGAAGCCTGGGCCACCACCCAGGCTTACCTTGGATGTGCCAGTGATTGCAACGATTGCAACGACAGTGAAGAGACACTCTCCAGACGGCGTGTATACAAATAGGAAACGCCTCAAAAGATCAACTCAAGCGTCTAAGGGACCTATACAATAGGGGACTTCCTTTCTGTGGGCGGGCGAAAGCAAAAATGAACTTCAGCAATCTCGGGTTGACAACTCGTAGTTCCCGCTTTTCCCGTTCAGCAAGTTCGAAGCGCTTCAAGATGCTCTCCAGCACCAAGACACTGTCTTCTGCCAACAAAACCTCCAGCAAAGCGCGGCAGCGCGGGCGCAGCCGCTTCAAGGTGTAGTCGCCCAGAGCTCCTTGTGCAGAACTCGCCGAAATCCGAATGGAAGGCCGGGTTTCAATAGAGATGGAAGGGTACAAGTTTAACTCCCGAAGACCCAAACTGAGCCTCTTTTTCTGTGCTACCTTGAGAACACGCATACTGCGCACATGCTGCATGCGTTTGTCATACAGGGGTTGAATAGATCCAATAGAATCTGCATCTTTTTCTGCAGTACCAGTATGTTGCAACACAAACACCAGCGTTGGGCCTATCTTCTTTGACCGTTTCAGGTGGTGTCATTGATAGTTTTCAGCATATTCATCTTTAAAGTTGCAGATGACATGGCAGTAGTATGCAATAGTCAAGTTAGTCCAGCTGGTACTAGACCATCTTCCATTAGTCTGACTACCGGCACCCGTGGGTCCCGTGGGTCATGTTCAATAAAATACTGCGAACTGGAGTTCAACAGAAACCACCAGCCTCTGAGAATGCCGGTGGCCTTTTTTGTGGCGAAGAGGTGGCTTCTGAAATTTTAGTTGATAAAACACATATTTATACTAAAACGAATTTACAACAAAGGTAATTACATAGTATTCATCAATATTACGCAATCATCTGCAAACTGATGGCAGATCTGTTGTAACAGCATCTCGCCAAACGTCCAATCGTGCAAAAACGCACAAACAAAACAAAGCCGTCACGCCTCTGGAGGTCTTTGTTTTATTTTGTTTCGATTAGGTCTGTACCACGCCCGAGGAGAACGCCTGCATCTTCAAAGAGAACGGTCTTCCCATCCACCAGCGAGGCGGTCAGCTGTTGGCTCAGCTCACGGTGCGCTTCTGCAGAGACCTCCGTGAGCTTTCCTCGCAAAGACTGCGCCATCTGAGCGATCATCCGGTCAAAGTGCGTGCGGGCAGCGTGCAAGAAGCGACGCCGGCAGCGCTTGCTCATGGCTGGAACACCGATTTGGTACCATCAGCTAGCGACCAATTTATGCAACAATATGCAATTTACACAGCGGTCATGCAGCAATCAGTCGCTCCTCATGTTCGTCGTAGCATCACACATTGTTGACATAGAATGCCATACAACTATATGACACGAGGTGAGGTGAGGCTTGAAAAAAGTAAGCGTGAGCAAAGCAGCAGAAACGAGGCCTGGTCCTTTTTATATCCGGACGAAAGGGCTTTGGTCCGTCAATGCTGTGTTGCAACAGTAGCATTTTCTGTGGCTTGGGTAACTTCAATATTCAGGTCCAGAACCAGGATTGCACCTTCTTGATCTGGAAGCGCATAAAGCTTGTCATTTGCCACCACTGTATCCATGAAGTGGTGGCCACCGCCCCCTAAGATATCTCCGGCTTGAAAGCAAAATGTTGTTTCCGTCTGCAAGTCCAGGACCAAGATATTAGTTGGCCTGCTTGGCAGGATGTAGATGTACCCTCCGTGAGAACCCATGCTGGTCCATTCGTTGCCAACATGGCATTTGCCTACAGAGATTCCTCTTGCCTTTTTCTGCGCTATGTCTACTGCCAAGATATCCCTTGAAGGCGCTGAGCCTGCATAATATGCATTTGACGGTGCTGCATATATGCTACCACGGATCTCCAAAAGCCTGGACCATTTTGCTGCTCCCCTTGCCACCTGTGTGGTATCGATGCCTTCAAAGGTCCTATTGCTTGTGTGAAAAATGAGCATGCACTCAGCATCCCAGGGCGAGGCAAATAAGGAGCCATCCACTACCGCAACATCATACCACATAGCTGCAGACCATGACCTTGATTCTTGGCTCGGCCAAACACATCCATCTAACTCCTGGTCAATGGCAATTTGGTCGAAATAAGCAGCGGCGCTGCCAACATCTATCGAGAGCAACTGGGTGAAGCCTGCTTTTGGAAACACATATAGCGTGGTTCCCACCGCAGCAATGGCAGAGTATATATGCTTTCCATCCAAGTATAACCTGTGGTTGAGTGTAGAGACTTTTCCGGATGTGGTATTCACAATAAGCATGTAGTCGGCACCAAGTTTAAATGGAGGTGAATAAATGCATTCATTCACAACAGCTGAAGAAGGTGATAACCCCACCAGATCATAATCAAGATGCTTGAGCTCTGAGGCTGTGGGAAGGGTGGACAGCTTTGCCGTGTTCAAATCCAACACTATCACGGGGTTGACCTGCCAAGGTAGGCCGAAAAGCTTGTCGCCGACCCGGGCCCAGCTGCCCCATCCATGGTTTTTGCCAGTCTTGCTGGGTGCAACCTCGTTGGTATTTATCTTCTCCACCATTTTCGAGCACTGCTCCTTCACGCTGGGTGGCAAAATAGAAGAATCAGTGGCTGAAGCGCCAACAGACTGACCGAAGCGCCAAGCTTCAGTGCACTGGGGTGCTTCGCAAAAGCACAGTTGCAAATCTTGGCCTTGGCAGGACATCCAGTAATCTGCTGATGTGTTCTGCACCGACTCCGGAGCTTGGATACCCTTGGCCCACCAGGCCCAATGTTGCACATCCGGATCTCCGCAATCTTGTTGTCGGGGAAGGAGAACGGCCCGGTCCCCTTCCGAAAAGTATTGGCCAGCCAACTTCACATGCACGAACTTCACTCCTATGACCTGAGCTAGTCTGGAAAACAATGTTGGATCAACAAAGAAACCTTAAACAGAGGGTGCCCACGTGCATGCACATCTGTAGATGTGGAATAGAACTATATGGCCCATTTCACACGCTGACGTCTCGTTCAGGCAGGCTGCTCCCACTTAGATGATGATTATATATATATATGATATTATGTGCGTGTACTTACTGACGTCCACTGTGTGTCTCTGCCAGCCCGAATGATATTTTTCCGTTTCCCTCCTCTTCTTTGCAATAGGATTCCGGAACATGTATCAGCTATGTGGCAACAAATTTGCTTCGGACTTGCATGGCCCAAACGGTTTTCAGCGACATAGACGCACATGGGAGCGAACATGGCTGGGAGATGCATCACAAGCATTGGCACATCAGGGCGCACAGTCTCGTTGCTGTGGAAACGAAAAGCAGCAAACAGTGAGTGCATCTTTGGGAGATGGCAGTACACGCACGAACATTGACATTGCAGCCACAACCAAGCGGACATGAGCATGCAACGCTCAGTTCACCGTTGCATTGTCGATGCGCTCACAAGCATGAACCAGTGAACAGCCGCGCAACACGGATGGTTTCAAACAGATTGACCTGGTAAACGTGTGGCAAACGCAGCACTTGCTCCGTTGAAGATGGAAAAACAACGCAAGACTTGAGGCCAGAGGGGGTGAACGAAAGCTAGCCGGGCCTCCTCGTCCAAACAAGTCGGGGGCGGGCTGCACAGTCACTCTCATTGGGTAACTGCCGGTCCACTTGCAAGTCCCGTGGGAAACTCTAGAGAAGCAGTGTTAGTATCTGGCGCTGGGTGGTCTGCTGCTGCTGCTCTGGTTGGTCTGCTGCTGCTGCTGCTCTGGTTGGTCTGCTGCTGCTGCTGCTGCTGCGGTTGGTCTGCTGCTGCTGCTGCTGCTGCTGTTGGTCTGCTGCTGCTGCTGCGGTTGGTCTGCTGCTGCTGCTGCTGGTCTGCTGCTGCTGCTGCGGCTGGTCTGCTGCTGCTGCTGCTGGTCTGCTGCTGCTGCTGCGGTTAGTCTGCTGCTGCTGCTGCGGTTGGTCTGCTGCTGCTGCTGCGGTTGG